AAAGGAAAGACAAAATAAAAACAAGATGTGTCAGGGTAATGTAATAAACAGTGGTTATTGCATATCAGCCACCTTTCTCAGGCACACTCCCTTGTGACTACAATTCAGGTGATTGACTAAATTCACAATTTTAAAAGCTGTTTAAGAATATCTCCCCAAGATATAACACTTATCCTTTCTTGATTTGGCAGCATATGTATTCATCTCATCAGAACTCCTTTGATGTCAGTAGTTATGATGAGCAATGAAGATAAGGGTCACATACCTCTGCTTGAAAAATTGTGCAACATGCTGCTAGTCAGACTTTTTTAGACAGATAAGTAGAATGCTGCAAGCCGCTTTAAATTATCAAGAACAAAAATTTTGTTTTGGCCGGTTTCTGGAGAGCATGTAATATATATGTTACTGGTGCACTCTAATATTCACCTCCTACAGGAAGCACATTTACACCCATGTCTTTTGGTCAATAAGTCATCACTAAACATTGTAAAGCAAGACCACATATAATCATCCAGTACAGTGGAGTTTTCAATAGCTATTGTTATTATTATTGCCATTGTTGTTGTGTTAAGAGGTCCCAATAAGAAGTCAGGCTCTGGATATTGTACAAACCTATAAAAGAGATGGAACCCGACTCTAAAAATTTTAAATTTAGGTAGATAGCACAGAAAGAAGTTAGGGAACGGGGAAACAACATACAAAATGAAAGGTCACAGTAGTATTTGGGTAATGTTTCAGAGGTACAATTTTAGAGGTAAGCTGTTAAAAAAAAACAAAAACAGGATTATACTCTGTGTGGGTTTGCACATGTGTGTCTACACACACACACACACACACACACACACACACACACACAGTTAGAAAACTATAACACTGTATATACTTTTCTAATTAGACAAGGTACATGCACACTTGTGCCTCTGCATGTGTGTGCATGCGCCTATATATACCCATCTTCAGTGAAAATGAGTAACATGTCTAAGGAATCTTTTCTATGCTAGCCAGGAAGTCATGCATAGGATACTTAAAAGAAACTGTTTGGCACATGCCTCTGGGTGCTACTTGCAACCTCAGGGTGTGTCCTTTACAAATTTCTTGTTGATGGTGACAAGTGACCCAGGATTTTTTTAACAGACAACCCTTCGTAGTGCAAAGCCTTCATCAGTAAATCAATTTAACAAATATATATATTAGTTTGAGGTGTTACCACATGCCTCTAAAACCAACATCTATTTATTGTGACTACTTCATAAAAAGTAGAGAGAGAGAGAGAGAGCTCCTTTATATTTTTTTGAAAAAGCTCATTCATTTTAAAATCCAAAGTGATTTTACTTTGAATAGCCAGATTTCATGACTGTGTATTTCCTTCATCCTGATGAGCATTACCAGCAGTACACATCTTTGCCATAATTAATTTTGAAAGGAGAGCAGACATGTATATTGCCACTAGCTCTCAGTGGATTATCTATACTCAGGCTTGCTAGACAATGGAAAGTAAAGTCACCTCCGATTCAAAATGCTTCAAATGCACTGAAGGAATAATGTACTCTGATGCACACTGTATGGATTTTTAAGTAGGGCAACAGGACAGCATTTTTTTCCTATGAGGATTACTGTATATAACTCGATGAGTTACCAGATACTGTTAATTTGTGATAATGTTCAGCACATCACTCCCACATCATTCTACATTTTCTCTCTTCCCATTTATCCTTAGCCTTTTTGCAGAGTAAAGTGTTTTTATTAAGGGAAATCGAGCTAAAACAAAGAAATAAACAAACATCACATACATATGCACACATTACTCTTATAACTGTCCCTATGAAACTGTATAAACCTATATATAACCTTACTAATTAGGCAATGCTGTAGATTCTAACAATAAATTACTTTTGAGAATCTGGTCATGTTACTTTAATTATCCTAAGTGCTTGTACCAAATAGGCACAGACTTAATTTAGAGTGCATGTAACAAATGAAGTACATATTAAATGTAAAATTGAAGTGAGATTTTAGGTTAGAATAATTGATAGAACTGAAAGGAATCTGTGTAGCCTTTCTTCTGGGTGGGGTGGCCTGGGTTGAGTGGGGTCTAAAAAAACTGCAAAAAGGAATGGTTAAGGTGAAGTCTGAAGCCAGTGCAAAACATATCTCTGCAGAGACTTTTGTTAAATTTGTGTCAAATGCCATGGGGTCCTGAACCATGCCTGAAGCTACAGGTTTTACTGCAAGACAATAAGTAAAATGGTATCACATGCTCAACTTAAAACTTACAGTTAACACTTGCAGTTAAAAAGCAAGCAGCCTATCATGTGTTAAATGCCCTCCCAGCACTGCAAAGCTGTTCTCCTTGGGGGGGGTGTCTCCCAACACATTTATTTTAATAGGTCACTACTTTCCAAGGATTCAATGACTTGCAGCTGTTGCAACTGAACCTGGGGCACTGCCCTAAGCTAGACTGATCTCAAGTGGGACTTATTTTTTAATATGACTGGTATTCAGTTACTATGCTGATATTATTGGTCATGACATAGTACTTGACAAGAGGACCATATGAAGGTTATTAGCTCCTAACAGAAATATATGTATTGCATTAAAAGAATCCCAAGAAATATAAAGGAAAATGTGCATAAATTCAAAGAGGAAGAATTTTTAAATGTTTCCAATATAAAACCTACCTTAAAAAGCCAACTCACCTATGATGATTTATTGTGCCAAATATCAGAAAATAACCCCTGTGTTAAACTACAATACAGAAGGATTGTTTTACATGCAGTCTCAATGCAACTAATCAGAGCCTCCATCATGTTATATTTTTTTAATTAAGGGTTTTCAATAATTGAATGAATACAAACACACTCATTAAGACACTGTTAAGAACCAACAGCTTAGTCCAGGGAGTTTTGTTTCTCTTGTTTAGGAGTGGGGTTTCCTATTTTTTAATGTTTTTGGTTTAGTACATTTTAGCTAAAATTTGGTCCTTTTTAATTATTTAGTTTTAAGCAATGTAATTGCCATACTACAAATTCTAGGATCCTGAAAATGAACAACATAATAATGATCATCTGGCATCATGAAAAATAATAAGGATGAACAAACTCAGCGGTAATCAGTCAGATCTAAGAGCACATTGGCAGTTACAAAATAACTCAGCCACCTAGTAAATCAAACTAACGGGAAAGCTCCCTTCCAGCACCATTACCATCCTCCTCTCTACAATCAAAGAGAACATATTATCATCACTCTCACCCCAAATCACTATAATTTTTTTTTAAAAAGGAGCAAATGGTTTTAAGTTTGTTAAGAAAAGAAAAGACAAAACTGTAGGATACATAACTCTGTAGCATGACTTCCTATAAGGAATCAGCTCTGTAGTTTCAGAATTGGTCCTTGAAATTGTCATAAGAAGAAGCATCATGATTATATCTGATCCACCTTTTTTTTTTCTTCAAACAATATAGTTTTCCTTCTTTACTCAGTATCTGGACTAGACTAAAATGTCCTTTTTGGTGTGATTTCAAACTCCTGAATACCACTAAAATGGTCTAATCACTCAAAACTTCTGAAGAATTAAAATAAGATATTTGAGAGGGATAAATAAAACAGCATTGCTTTAAAATATATTATTCAGACAGAGAAAAGGGTTGTTTGCCCTTTAAAACCTCACTCTCTCTCTCTCTCAGCTGCCTTTCAGGAAGAATCTGGTGATGCTGCATTATTGATGTGATACAGGTCTCCAGTGGAAACAGATGTGATATGTTTGGCTTCCTCTGATATCCTGGGCTGAAACAAAGCAAATTACTGAATGTATGAACACACAGGTTCAATGAAACAGTTCAAAGCAGTTTGAAAGGCAGTCCTTGCATAATAAGTCTTACATTTAGACCCTGTTGCATAAGGAAACGTTAGATTTGTACTAGAAGAAGTGTACCCCAAACCATTTTGGCAAGACAGACTTCAACTGAGATAAAAATGCATATGGGCACCTTCAGGTTTGCTTGATCTCAATTCAGGCATTGATTGTTGGGTAAAAGTGAAGTAACAGTGCATACCTGCAAGAAGGAAAAAAAAAGGAAGATTTAAATTCTCCCTACCAATCTTACATAGGGCCCTCTATTTTTAAAAGCCCGTTTTGGGATGCAAAACTTTCTGTTTTTGTCCCTTGGCACCTTGCAGCTAGTTGCATGCAGCGCAATCATGCATCACAATAGATCAAGCAGAGGTGGAAGTGAAAGGACTGTTTGATCAGAGGCCAGAATTCTCTTCAGCTTGAATAGGAATCCAAGGTTACGTTACAAGAAGGCAGGTGTGGTCCCTCCATTAGGGAAAACCACACAATACAGAAAAGCAGCAAAAGCTGCTTCCCCAAGGAGAGGTTGAGTCTCCCACATTAATTTACCTGGTTTGCTTAACCTGTCTTTATTTGAGTGGTCCTCAAATACTGTGATCTAAATTCTCCCTGGTTTCAGACCCATTGCCATCACCCATGGGTCTGTGACCTCCGGGCACTCAGCAAATCAAATGTTTTCTTCCATTTAACGCATTTTTCTCCATGAAAGAGCTCAGCACAGACTTTTGTTTCCTTGCATCTACAAAAATACATACAAGTATTTGAAAACTGGATCCCAAATCCTGACCATGTCTTTGCCTCTTTCCTTTGTGGCTTTCTCCTTTCTTCCCCCAATCTGTTTCTTGGAACTTTTCTTAGTCCCGCCTTTCATTTGTCAAAATAAATAAATAAATAAATAAATAATCCTACATCTCTCTGGCTCTTGTACTTCTCCCCTTCCAAAAAAAGAGAGAGATTTTAATCTGGAAATCAAAATTGTTCTCCTGTTTTGCATGCACTACAGAAGATCATGGGGGGGGGGGGGGGGGTAAGAGACAGCAAAAGTTACCTGCAGACAGACACACATCCTTCCACTTTTCCCCCCTAGAGTTTGCTCCTCGGTCTGATGCTCAGAGAGGAAGCCCGAGGCACTGAACTAAGGCGATCAGAGCAGACAGGGTCTCGCACAGCCCGAGCCAGAGAAGCCGAGTGAGAGGTGGCTCTTCCTAGGGGACTGCCGGTCCCGTGGGCAGAGGAGGATGCCCCACCGACCGGCCGTGATCAGCCCCCACTTCCAAACGTCCAAAAAGCATCTGAAAGGAGGGAAGCCTTTGAAACAGCAGCCGAGATGCCTTTGGGGTTTCCCTGACCTGCCCTTCAAAGAGCCAGGGAGATATCTGATGGCTGAAAATGCAAGGAGCCAAGGTCTGGTGGTCTGTAATCCTCCCTAGGAGCACGTCGAGCGGACAGGGAGCCCTGCACAGGAGGCGGACGAGGAGCCGCTGGGATGCCCCGGGACTAGCCATTTGCCCAGGGGGAGGCGCCGGGGCTGCCCAGCTCCCCTGACAGCCTGCGGGCGGGCATGGGGGACCAGGCGCCCGCATCTGGAGGAGGGGGAACAAGGGAGCCAGGGAAGCGGAGGGCGAGGAGCCAGGGGGCTGGCTGCTAAAGAGGAGAGTTAAGAAGGTAATGATTGCCATCCTGCAGCAATTTCCCTGTGTCATGGCTCCTGTTTCCTAGCAACAGCATCCAGTCCGGCCAGCACACCAGCAGCAGCAGCAGGCTGAGCACCATTCAAGAGCAGCAGCAGCAACTCCAGGAGGGCTGGCAAAGCAACCAGCCACAGCACAGAGGCGGAGGCTGCAGCTGGCAGGGGGAGATCCGCAGCAGAAAGCAGGGGAAGATGAAGGATGGGGAAGGCGCAGCACTTCTAGGAAACTCCTGGCAATGGCTCTTCCCCGAGGCTCCGCGGGGGCTGCCGGCGCCCGGCCGCGCTCTCCCGCTTCCGTCGCCGGGCTTGTGAGCGGGACGCCCCGGAGCGCGGAGCCGAGCCGGCCGCGGCTGCGCTGAGATGTCCGTTCGGGCTGGAAAGTTTCTCCGCCGTCGCTTGATGGTGCCTGCCTCCCTCACCTCCGGCTCTGACCTCCCCCCGGTCTTCCTCGGTAAGTGAGATTACACTGTTGGCTCCACTGCTGCCATTTTGAGCAATAAATTTCATCCGCGGTCCCCAAAGGCTTTTTCACCCTGGTCTGATGTGCGTGGTGGGGGCAGGGAACGATTTCCCCCTCTCTCTCTTTTTTTCTCCCTCTTGGAGAAATTCAGAGACAAAGTAGTTCAGTATTTCTTGGCTCCAGCCCTTCTTGAAGGGGACCCCACACCAGAAACAATGCCATCGTGTTCCCTGAGTCTAAAAGACGGGGTGGGGTAGAAACAAAGGAGTTGCCAAGTCAGCTCCTGTATTTGGAAACAGTCAGGTGCCTGTTGTGTTTAGACACCTTTTGCTGGGTGTTTGCCCAAGCCGGGAGCCTGGCTTACTAAAGCTAACCAAAAGTTCAAAGATTCATCAGAGCACCTGGTGAGTGGCATTCAATCGATAGCTACAAAACTATGGCATTTACAGGCAGGTCTCTTCATAGGCATATTGCCAGCCAACCCCATCACATCTACTGTAAACTGCATCAAAACTACGCCCAATATAGACTGGCAACTTTGCTCCCTCCGTTACGTATGAAGAAATGCTGCCAAGAATGTCAGCTCCCGAATCTCAGACCCTATCCAGGCTGCACCTCCGAGAATACACAGCAGGTTAGAAACAGTCTTAAGTATAACACTGAGCAAATTAGCAATTGTTGCAAAAGAAAATCCTCTGGAAATCATATTTTTACCCAACCTGAGTGAATCCTTCTATTTTCCATGCACACCCAAACAGTCAAAGCAATATCAAATCCTGCATTCATCTGTAGCAAATAAGCGAGCATTTTAATCCATGTCCAGGAAACAAAGGGGTTAATCAAATCAAATTTCCATGTGCATTTACGTTTCTAAGCCTGTGACTGAGCTAGTTTTCAAATTGGGTTTGGTTCTTACAGAGTAGCCTTCGCATAGTCATTGAGCTCCTGGTTAAAATGTAAAAGATTCTCTAGAGAGTATTTAAAAGAGAGAGTTTAATATGACATAACTATCAATTTGTAAATGATTACAGACCACATTAAATTCGGATATGTGAATTATATACCGTGTCCATTGAAAGCCTCCGAGTGCTGGGTAATTTTCTGATGGTACTGTTATTAATAATAGTTTCTGGCTTTAGTAAACCTCTCCCATGCATCCACCCTTGTTTCTTTTTTTATTGAAAACTAAGTGTCAAGGCAATATTGATTCACAAGCATTGTTCAGGTCTGATTACCATCTGTTTTTCCATCTTAGTTGAGTCAGGGTCATGTCTGGTGGTATAGTGGAAGAGAATTAGATCAAAAACCAAACCGCCATTTAAAAGAAATCATGCCCTGCTAATTAACACTTCTGCACCATCAAGCCATTCTAAAAAAAGCAAATAAATACTTCGACAATAGGAAAGAGGAGGCAAGACTCTATTCATTGTTAAATTACATTCAGCTCTATTGTAAATTCAAAGCAATGTCTCCGGTGATAACACAGTTGTTTTATGAGAAATACATACAGAACAAGTAGGGCGCAAAATCGTCACATCTGGGGATGTGTGTGACTGGAACAGAAATGAAATTTAGAAGTTAATGAAAGGGGGGAAAGATCACTTTAGATGCCTAGTTAAACAGCTTTCAAGGCAAGGAATTGAACTTTATGAAGTATGCTAAATTGATTACTGTCATCGTTCCTTCCTATAAATTATTTCAGGCACTTCAAAAAAAAAAAAAAAAAAAAAAAAAAAAAAAGTAGGAAAAAACCCCTTTTTCAGTATAAGACTCAACTGAACAGTTTGCAACATTGTGGGATTTGTTCCTGCCTTGTACATACTAGTTTCCCAGCCATTTGAATACTCAGATGATGAATCATGATGGTACAGTAAAAATAAAAAAAAAAAAAAAAAAAAAAAAAAAAAAAAAAAAATCAAGCAACAAATGCTATTTCACGTTAGCTTCCCAACACAAAACATTTTCTTTTTCTGGGTGCTTCAGAGGGTTCTCTCCTTTTTTCATAAAATCTGACATTTTTTATTTTTTTAATACTGGCCACAAGCTCACAACTTAGGGGATGTGGGGAAGGGAAGATTCATCAATGTTACATAACATTACCTTGAACATACATGTTTCCAAATCAAGCAGCTGTCCAGATGATGTACCCATACCGTAAGCAGAAGAGGATGGGTTTCTATCTCAGTGCAGATAAAATGCGAAAGAAGTGGCTTGGAAGAAACTTTCTAAAGGTATTACTGTCTGGGTATTCAAATGTTTCCCCTTGTGCATTTTCAGTAATTCATTTCCCATTCTTTAAAAACAAGCAAATAATCACTTAGAATCCCTCACTAATGCGTAAACCATGTAATAAAAAAATAAAATAAAAATAAAAATAAAAAAATCAATGCTATCTACAGACCAGTTCTTACTGCCCTCTTGGTTTTATTGCCACAGCATCCAGAGTAGATTAGATCCAGCCCAACAGATTGGTAGCACTAAAGGCCTCATGCATTGTGACCCTCTGACCCTGGTAGAAGAACAAGGCCTGAGGCCAAGACAGATGGCAGCAACTTCCTGGAAGGAGAAGCAGGCAGCCTTGCCTGCTACTCCTAAAAGCAGCATGACTCCTTTTCTGTTGGTTTGCATGGGTGATGCCACTCCCACCTGGGTGTATCTGGAGTCCAAAGAAATCAATTAGCTGTTTGCAAACAGCAAAATGAATGATGTCAGGGGACACAGGGCTGCTTCTGTGGCCCAAGTTACCTCATTCAGCTTCTTTGTCACAGGGATTGGCTGTCTGCCTGTGTGCACTGGTGATCAGTGGGCCAGTGACTGAGATCCCACTCATTAGAACTTGAAACCAAATATAATGAGCAACAGGAAAACAAGGGGCTGCAATCATGCTGCTGAGACCCTTCCCAACCCGGCCTGATCCTCTTCTCTCCCCCTCCCCCCTTGCTGCAGGAACTGGAGGAGCTGTAGGAAGTGGAGCTGCAGGGAGCCAGCCATGATCGCCACCGGAGGCCTCCTGAGGATCTCAGCCCGGAAACAGGACCCCCTGCGGCCTCCGAGCCAGGTGGCCAAGCGCAAGCGCAAGGCCAAGAAGAAGCGCAAGAATGATGTGGTGGTGGTGAAAGGCAAGCTGAAGCTGTGCTCGCTTTCGGGCCTCATTGCCCTCTGTGGCATCCTCGTGCTGCTGGTGGGCATCGCCCTAGCCGTGATGGGCTACTGGCCCAAATCGAGCCTGCCTTACCGCCAGGGCAGCTTTGAGGGTGCCAGGGCGCTGCTGCCTCTGGGTAGTGCTGTCAAGAACCGCTCCCGGGGGTTAGCAGGCATACACTCTGACAGCACTGGGGATGACTCCTCTGGCAGTGCCAGGAGACCCCCACCACCTCTTGACACTGCCTCTTCCTCGGCGGGCTTCCTCCTGCGCCTCTTCTCGGACTACTTGCACTCAGACAAACTCAAGGTGTTGGGCCCACTCATCATGGGCATCGGCATCTTCCTTTTCATCTGCGCCAATGCTGTACTGCATGAGAACCGTGACAAGAAGACCAAGGTCATCGACCTGCGGGACCTCTACTCCACCGTCATTGATGCCCACAGTCTGCGTGCCAAGGAGGTTGCTGGTACTGTTGCTGCCCCAACACCACTCAATGGCTTTGTCAGCTACGCAGCACCCCGTGGCACCTGGCCCCCTGTCCGCCACCCCTCCAGCCCCGGCCCCCCACCGCCGCCACCCAGCCTGGCTGAGGCAGTGTACAGCATTTCCTGTGAGCCACCGGACAGCATGGCAGGCTCCCTCGTGGGGTCCACACTGAGCGCCTTCACGCTGCTGCCCCTAGCACAGGGGGAGGGGGACTGGCGGCCGCCAAGGGGTGAGCTTGAACGGAGCCTGACTGACCTCCGTGGCTGCCAGGGGCTGGCACTGGCCCAAGCCGGCCGCCCACCGAGGGTGCTGAGGCGCCAGAGCACCAGCTGCCTGCCTGACATCCGGGGAGTGCCATCGCCCGAGCTCCTGCCCCGCCAACAGGAACAGGATCGTCTGCCACAGGCTTCTTCCAGCCCCTCCCCATCCCCCGAGGTGGGGAGCTCCCCTGACCTCAGCCCCCCTGCCATGCGGGGGGGGTCTCCCCACTCTGAGCCTTCCAGCAGCAATAAGGGCTACAGCCACCTGGAGGAGGCAGGCACCTCCTTGGAGTCTGTTGCCAACACCCCAGCCAGTACAACCCCAGACTGTGAGGGGGACCCCAGTACGGAGACAGGGCCCCAGGAGGTGCCCAGCCCACCTCAGACTGCCGAGTCCCCTCCACCAACACAGAGACAATATACCAACAAAGAGAAACTTTTCATGATCTCCAGATCCCACGCACCTCTAGGACTGGGGGACGGGGAGCTGGAAAGCATTGGCATTTAAAGGGAGAGAGAAGGCACCAGGACACCCCCCTTCCCTTGATTATCCGCACCTCCCACTCTCTCCTTGTGGATGTGGGAAACCCGGTCGATAGCCAAAGAGCTGCAGTAGGTTAGGCTTGAATTGCTTTCAAGAAATTCCTGTAGAGGAGGCCAGGAGAGAGAAAGAGAGAAAAAGTGGTGTCTTTTCTGTCCCCTTGTGATTGTATGGTCCCTGCAAGCCAATTTCTATTAAACATCCAGCAACCAATCCAGTAAATCCTTGGAAAGAAACAAATACACGTTTTTGGACAAATTAACTGTGCACTTTATATACTTTTTAAAATTGTTATTATTATTATGATCATTGCCAAGTGCCCTCTCCACTCCCTTGGTTCTCTCTGCTGCTGATTTGCCACTAGCTGCTTGGAAACCATTAGCTCTTTTTCCAGCTCCAGAGCAACACGGTAGCTAGCTCAGTAAAAGCTAATCTTTCTGTCTCTCTCTTTTGTTTGTTTGCTTGTTTGATCACTCCAAAAGTTTTCAGGGCTTTACCCACCGATGTAACTTGAAAACAGCCACACTTGTTTAGATTCTGGAGTATGATGACTGAGGAGAGACTGGAGCAGGAATAATCCAAATTCAACTGTTACATTCCTAAATCCAAAATACCTATTAATACATGACACTTTATTAAGTATTATTACACATGTATTGACTAATAACATTAAACAGGTTTTTTTTTAATAAAATGTTTACAAATAAAAATATCATCTTTAAACAGTTTTTCCCTCCCCTGCCTCTCCCTCCATAAATGACAAACCAAAGACAATTTTGGTTTTCCAAGTTTTAAAAATTAGAGACAAGGTTTCAGAACAAAGGTCTGTTTCTGTTCTTCCCAGAGTAACGATAATTTAGCAATATGCTGAAAATATGGAGTAGCAAACTACTTCAAGCCAGCCAGCAGACTGTCTCTTTTTAACTTTTCTAGCTACAGTTTTGACAGTTGAAGAATCTGAGATTTTGACATTCTAAAGAGAAAAGTTGATTGCAGTTTTACCGTCTAATACAATTATATTTTCCATGAGTAACATATTAGTCTTTAATGGTAGCCTGTTATTTCTGACTCTCTTACTTTCTTTTAAAACAGTTGCTTCGAGGCTTTTTTTCTGCAATTCAGGCTCAAACCTTGCACTTAACTTCAAGCATATTATTCAAAGTATTAAATTTCTGAGGGAGAAATCATGGCTTCCATTGAAGTCAAAGGGATTTTGTCATGGCTTCTGATGGGGAAAAGGATTTTTCCTTGAATAAGTGAGGAAACGTTTCTGAATGTCAGATAATGGGTGAATAAATCAGCATTTTGATAATTGGGAAACATTTATTTTTCATACTTAAGATAATGCAAGTGATTACTTGCTTGACCATAGAAAGACATCTAAGTATTAAGATAATTTGCTATTATGTGATATTATATCAAATATATATTTAATATGGATAGGACATTTATTTTGTTAATGTAGAATAATTGAAGTTAAAATAGATGTAGATAATAAATTGGCCTTTTTCTGTTAAAGCTTTTATAATAGCCTGTTATTTAATACCTGTTAATTATATTGGTATGCAATTAGATGACAATACATTGTAATATTCAACATACAAACCATGAGAATTAAGCATAAAATGTAATCCTGCAAAAAATGCTTACAGAATAGAAAAAAATAATTTAAAAAGATATCAAACAACAGACTGCCATCTTGAGGCTCTAATGTATGAGTTCTAGGGAATGCACTTTTCTTTTTTTTTCCTGCAATTGCAAGGTACAGGCAGAGTCTCTCCTATTGTCAGTGCCAATTAACCATATAATCTTTATTTATGCACTGTTCCTTTTAAAACTATTCTCTATCATTGCTTGACCTAATAGCTTCAAAATAGCCTCAGTATGTAGAGTTTTTTAGAATTCCTACCTGAGCAATTTTAGTTTTCTATAGAAATTTAGGTTACATGTTTCTTTTTATAGGTGGGGTGGGAGGGGTAAGTTCATTTGAGTGACAAAGTTCTTATTTGAACGTTTACTTTATTAGTGCCAAAACGTACTTAGTGCAGATCAATAAGGATAACTTAATTCATTCCACTGTTAAAAAAAAATAAAATCAGGTATCCCTTCTTTAGACATTCTCTTCTCTAAGAGTTTGCCCCCTTTGGCTCTTGGCTTCCTTCCCGAAACGGCACCTAGATCTCATCCTTCTACTGACCTTCAAGGCCTAATTTGATTTATTTTGGCTTCTCCCCTACCCTTGTCCTTTTCCAAACCTGCCTCCTCCCAGACGGACATCACACTTCTCCTTCCAGCCTCTGCCTCCAGACCTTGCAACCAACTGTTTCTTCCATGGGCTTTGGCAGTATGGTCCCATAATATTGCCCATTTCATATTTACCCTGCCTTCTGACTGACCTCAAACTAACATGACTAACCACCTCTCTCTCTTTCTTACATACATTTTGGTATTTTCAAAATATGTGCATCTCAAATGCATCTACTGAACTAGAAAGAGAAAGAGGTCCACAAAGGCCAGTTGCCCCAACTGTTATATAGAAAAGTTCTCAGGAAAAATTTGGTGTCTGCCTAAACTCCTAGGACAGATCACTCACAAAAGCACAGCCGCTTAGAATGCAGACTTTTGTTTTAAATTAATCTGCAAGACAGAGAATAGTTATTCAGTTACTTAAATGCGAGGAAGATTTCATAACACTTCATATCATATCTGTACCTTTTTAACTTCAGAAAGCCTATGGGCCTGATATAAAGAAGATAACTGCAGGAGGGTAAATGTATTGGGGACCAACATTAACAGCTGAAGTGTATAGACAGACAGACAGACATGAACACTTCAGGTTTTGAAGCCTTAGATAGTGTGTCAGCCTTCAAGAAGATATTTAAATACATAAATTAATTTAATGGATGACTTCTTTACATTATGGGTGTTTGTTTTGTTTTACCTATTGTCCTTTTTTTTCTTTTCAAATCAGAGCTATAAGCCATCTGATTTCTGGGTAAAACTGTTACTACATCATCTGCTGTACTGTGGAAGACAACATGCAGGCTTTTTTAAACTGTTCTACGTTGTGGTTTGGTTAGAACCTTCTCCATACACCATACCCACAAACAGAGAGTCATAGCCTGTGTACAACCATCGACCAATTTACTGGTAATATAAGCAGTCCCTTTTTATCCCTACACTCCATGACACAGAATCTATGTTTGTAATAACAGCATAGAAAGAGAAGCAATGGGTAACTTAAACCCCTCCTCCCCCCGCACACAAACAAGAATCTTTGCATAAAAACAATTAAACAGGGCATAATATGCAGGTTCATTATTGATGATCTACTGAGTTAAGACCAGAGATTATTATGGTATGAATGAGAACTTTTAATGGCATTTTCTATTATTAGTTAACATTTTTTTTTCTTGTTAGACAAGTCTATAATAAACAATGCAATGTATTTTCACTGCAAAGGTTAGTTTTTAATCTATAAATAACCTCCTTATGGTAGTAAAAACTTATGCTTTTATATTTACAGTAAAATGAATACAAATTAGTGTTGTCCTTAACATTATTTGCATCTTAAAACAGATCACCAATTAACATCTTTCACTAGTACCTTGTTGACTCATTCAAGTCCCTATTTATTTCAGTTTCAACATGAAAAAGAGAGAAGAAAATACCCCAGGCTCTGGGCATACCAAATTAGAACAAAGATAAAAAATTAGACCTTACTAGGTGCACACATCAAAAATATATAATAGTTCTCAGTAATGGCTGACAATTAACATCTTAAAAATAAACGAGAAAGAGCACTCTGTAAATGTCAACACAACTCATTATTTACAAACTTTCTCTTCAAAATAAACTTTTTCTCTTTCTGACTTCTTCAAAATTGTCAAAAGCAATCATCAAAAGACTTTATCTAGCCTATGTAATTGTTTTTTGTCTACTAATAATGACTCAACAATTCAGTTTGGGCCCACAGACTGTGAGCAAAATGCAGCATTTGCAGACAAAAATCTCTGACAGGATAAATAAGGGTCTCAGTTTCTTCTCTCAGTCACAGAAAATAAACTGCATTTAAAAAGTGTGTGTGAGAGAGATTTCCCAACAAACTACACTTCGTTCAATTTACCAATTTTGAAAATGTTAACACAGTAACATCTAAGCATATTTATAAATCTGTCACATTAAGGGCCAGGTAGCAGAAGAAGAGGCTACAATGACGTAAGCAAGGAGACAAGTCATGCAGTCCAGGGGTAGGAGAGAAGCCAAAAGGGTCATGGGAAAACACAAGTGGAGGAAGAAGGCACTGAGGATTTGAGGGCATGAAGAGCAACGTCACTAAAAATGATTTGATGGGAGAGGGTGTGACAGGTACAAGGGCACTATAGTATTCATATACACATTTCAGATTCAATTTTTGTGAATAGTCTTTTATAATCCACAATTTTTGCCAAAATCACAGCAAATGATGGGAAAAAACCTAAAGGGACACAAACCCAGCAAAAGTCATTTCAATATTATATTTAATATTTTAGTCATAAAAAATGACTTGAGGGGTTTGCCCACTTCTCCCTCTCTTTGGGTTCGATTGTTTATTATCAAAAGTGTTCCCATCACTGTAGCTTCTAAATACTTCAAGTAAATTAGGTTATCAAGGCATATTTCCACCCCAAGATTTTCAAAAAAGCTTCACTGCTTGGGCACTAAGCAAGAAAGTTTTAGAGTTGGCTCAATTTTTAGCATACACAATTCACAAAGCAAATTAGGCCATTTAAATTACTTTCAGGTTAAGAACATAACATTTGAGATATTTAAAAAAAAAAAAAAAAAAAAAAAATCACAGACTTTGATCCACAAGAATCTTCCCCTTTGGCTTTTTGCTGTCTTCCATTCCCTGGCAGAAAACGAGCTCTGTTACATACAAGTGGGGGGCTGCTTCTTTTTTCACTACAATGAATGTAGCCCTGGTGAGAATAAGCAGAAATAGCCCCCAATTCAAACTTTACACCCAACCATCTAGTTCTAAACTATGAGATTCCCAAATAATTTTTGCAGATAAAGCCAAATACAGAGTAGTGTAGTAGTAGTAGTATTTAAATAATTCTCTCTTTTCAAAGGGTTAAAACTTGAATTCTGAAGGGAACAATGTTAGTCCATGAGATTGTTAAACAGGAAGCACCATCAGGTTGTTTTATGGAAATGCATAAATATATTACTGACACATTTTTAACTGTTCACCTGGAAGTAATAAGACCCTGAGGAAGCTATGCTTTTTGTAGGTATGTAGCTAGGGAATTTGAATAAGCAAAAACAAAAACAACAACAAAAATCAGAGTAGAGGTACTTGCACATCCTAACTACTATTGAAATAAGCCACTGTATTTCCTCTTAAATTATGGGCATTCTTACAAGAGCCTGTCTTTGTCCTTCCACGTGGGCTACAAGTTGTTCAAGTACCAATTTATCAAGTCTTTCTTCTTTAGCTCAAGTTGTAGCAATACATTCTTTTTGCCAAGGAGACCTCCAGGTTAAGCCCCAGTGTATCAGTCAAAAAGATGGTTATCGTATATGTGACAGGGGGCCATCTTGGGGCCGAACTCCACGGCCCGCCCACCTGTCTCTGGGCAACCGCCCGCCTATCTTGCCCGCCATGCCTTTGATGATAATAAGTTCAATTAAGATGTTAATTAAGTGGGAGGCTGCCCATTGTAATGCCCTGATGCCAGGGGGCGCTCTGCAGCTCAGACCTCCCCTAATACCACAGCCCAAGCCTCGCAGATGGCATC